TAAAATTTAAATAAATAACAAATACAAATAATACAAATCAAATGACAGTAGTTTATCAGTAATCCTAAAAAATAACACTGCCAAACACACATGCTAAAAAACAACAACTTACTTACACATAGTAAGAAATGGTTATAAAAACTGAAACAGAAGCGAAACAAGTAATAGGAAAGAGGAGAAATAAAAAGCGATACTTATCCTTTGCCGGTGTCCCTGCCCAGTAGAGTCGATGGTCTTTACACTCTTTGGTGGTCTTTTGATGGTCTTTACGCTGCCGCGGTAAACTAAGCTTTTTTATACCTGTCTAACAAAATACTAAATTAATTCAGCTGGACACACTTTCCTTATTTTCTCCACAACAAATGGCCAAGCAAGCGCAGACACTGACAAGATACACGATACAGAACGAGACCAAACGCGATATCAGCACGTCTCCACACAGTAAACAAAACAAGCGTTTCCTAGCAACGACAACTGCACTAAACACTAATGAGACAAGTAAATACACTTACGAGCTGCTTTTAACTTCCGCTGATAAAGACTGCTTCTCTCAAAGACTATTTCTTTACACTGTTTTCTGCTGGCGCTTGAACACACTTTCCTTATTTTCTCCACAACAAATGGCCAAGCAAGCGCAGACACTGACAAGATACACGATACAGAACGAGACCAAACGCGATATCAGCTCGTCTCCACACAGTAAACAAAACTACAGTTTTTACATAATAATAATATTATCATTCAATAGTGGACTCTTTTTAATTTTAAGAAATACTTTAGGTCTGTGCTTCTCAACTGGTTTTGCTTTAGGATCCAGATTTTACATTGGACATTAATTAGAAACAGGGAGAGACAAAAGAAATAGTGAAAGCTTAGATTTGATATGATTTTTTATTTTATTTTATCTGTTAAGCCAGTAATTCACCACACAAAAACTGTGGTTGCAACAAACTAGCCACTTTTTATTTTAATTTAATTTTGTTATATTTTATCACATTGCATGCTACCTGTCTGTGTCGAACACTAGTTTTGATATTGTTAGCTAACATAGTTTTCGTTCAAATAATTAAAATGATTTTAAAAATAATTTAATTAAAATAAAGCTGAAATAAAATAAAATATAAATATTAGATAAAAAATAAAAAAGCTCAACAAAAACCATACAGAAGTTTATTTTCTTTTATTTTCATCTGTAATGTCATTTTCACATTACATCTTTACATTTACTCATTTCTTAAGCATTGTATGTTTTATAAACATAATTATTTAAGAGGTCACAATTTTTTTAGTATGCTACAAAAAAATATTTTTTCACCTTGCATATGTGAATTGGAGAGCAATGATGCTAAATTACCTGTTACTGATACACTGAACGCAAATACATCAGCATATTTTAATTTTAACCATTGGATGAGGGAGATTTTATTTCGGTTATGTCACATATTTCAAATTAACTCAAATTAAAACTAAAATTGAAATGAAAATATAAAAATAAAAGCTGATTCAAAATATGAAGAAATACTATAATAGTGTATAAATAATACTCAGATAACACTGTTGTGTTGCCATCTGCCTAATTCTACCAATAATTTGATCCAAAATGTCATGAAGTTAGATTGGACCAAAGGTCTTCGATGTCAAAACAGACTTTGAACCATTTTTTGGGCTGCAGCTCAGCGGTTAAGAACCATTGCCGTAACTGGTCATGATCAATGATATCGCTGAATTTCTCCTAATCTCTCTCTCTACCCACAGGTCTAAGCTTTCCAGACGAAAATCAGGACAGATGAGGATGTGAAAGTGTTTTTCTCTGGCTGAAACCATAAGCAGATAGCTAACAGGCCGTTATGATGTAATTAGGTCATGTGATCATAAGTGCCCTATCCCCATGTCATCACAGCTGCCTCTTGCCTGCCCTTCCCAGCATTCCCCTCTCAGTCTGTCCATGCCAACCATAGACTGTGGGCCTGGCTTCACAGAGTGTGTGTGTGTTTATGTGTGTGTGTCAGGCCATATTTAGTGTAAATTTACAACATGGAAATATATTTAGAACTTCCCTCTAACATAGCTAAAAGCTAGAATGGCAAAACAGCATCTTAAACACGGCCCTTCTCTTAGTTCATTTGTAAATGTGACTCGACGCTCTGTTTGTGTATGTGCTTCTGCAGAGTAGATGTCAAGTGCTTTTACCTGGGCTTCAGTAGCTGCCTCTTGGTTTTGTTCATTCTACCATGATCATTGTGATTTTTGACCGGATGCATAGCTTATTTGGAGGTCACCTTTTATGCAGTGGATGACAGAAGGTTGCTATTGATTTTAGACAAAAAAAGAGGTAAATGTCCATTATTTCAACAAAAATCAGCATCGGAAAAGTACAAAATGTCTACCATACAGGTTTATTTTGTGTTTTTATTTTCATCTGTAATGTCATTTTTACTGTGTTTACTTATTTATTAAGCATTGTATGTTTTATAAACATAATTTATTAAGAGGTCACTATTCGTAATGCGCTACAAAAAATCATTTTTCACCTTGCACTTTTGATAATGAGCTTTATTTACCAGGTGCATTTAGGTTCATTTGCACAAGGGCGCTGCTGCTAAGAGAATCAGCTTCTTTAATCGTTCTTCATTTACAACTTTTCATTTTTTGCACAAAAAATTGGAGCGCCGTGACGCTAAATAACCTGTTACTGAATGCAAATACATCAGAGCACATTAAATGAGGGAGATTTTATTTCGGTTACATTAAATTTTTCAAATAATATTATGCAGGAAGTTTAAGTTTAAAAATGCTGTATCTTAATTGCATAGTTCCTCATTTGTAACTGCTATGTTCAGCTCAACCCAGCCTTAAATGTTATAATATACTGAATATCTGCATTCAAACCTCTTACATGGTGTTTCCTAGCGAAGCAGCAATAAGATCAAGTCTTGTAAGAGAAGATCCAGTTTTAGTGTTCCAAGACTTAACATAAAGTCTATAAACTCTGATGGCTTTTACCAAATGTTTTGTGATCACCAATATAGTACAGATTTTTTTTTATTAGCTCAGGTCATCATTTTTTGTGAGATGAATCAGTTATAATAAGCATATACACTTTGTTTTTGCTCCACCCTTTGCCTTGAAACTATGAAGACAGACATGGAAATATATTTAGAACTTCCCTCTAACATAGCTAAAAGCTAGAATGGCAAAACAGCATCTTAAACACGGCCCTTCTCTTAGTTCATTTGTAAATGTGACTCGACGCTCTGTTTGTGTATGTGCTTCTGCAGAGTAGATGTCAAGTGCTTTTACCTGGGCTTCAGTAGCTGCCTCTTGGTTTTGTTCATTCTACCATGATCATTGTGATTTTTGACCGGATGCATAGCTTATTTGGAGGTCACCTTTTATGCAGTGGATGACAGAAGGTTGCTATTGATTTTAGACAAAAAAAGAGGTAAATGTCCATTATTTCAACAAAAATCAGCATCGGAAAAGTACAAAATGTCTACCATACAGGTTTATTTTGTGTTTTTATTTTCATCTGTAATGTCATTTTTACTGTGTTTACTTATTTATTAAGCATTGTATGTTTTATAAACATAATTTATTAAGAGGTCACTATTCGTAATGCGCTACAAAAAATCATTTTTCACCTTGCACTTTTGATAATGAGCTTTATTTACCAGGTGCATTTAGGTTCATTTGCACAAGGGCGCTGCTGCTAAGAGAATCAGCTTCTTTAATCGTTCTTCATTTACAACTTTTCATTTTTTGCACAAAAAATTGGAGCGCCGTGACGCTAAATAACCTGTTACTGAATGCAAATACATCAGAGCACATTAAATGAGGGAGATTTTATTTCGGTTACATTAAATTTTTCAAATAATATTATGCAGGAAGTTTAAGTTTAAAAATGCTGTATCTTAATTGCATAGTTCCTCATTTGTAACTGCTATGTTCAGCTCAACCCAGCCTTAAATGTTATAATATACTGAATATCTGCATTCAAACCTCTTACATGGTGTTTCCTAGCGAAGCAGCAATAAGATCAAGTCTTGTAAGAGAAGATCCAGTTTTAGTGTTCCAAGACTTAACATAAAGTCTATAAACTCTGATGGCTTTTACCAAATGTTTTGTGATCACCAATATAGTACAGATTTTTTTTTATTAGCTCAGGTCATCATTTTTTGTGAGATGAATCAGTTATAATAAGCATATACACTTTGTTTTTGCTCCACCCTTTGCCTTGAAACTATGAAGACAGTGTATACGAAGTATAAAAAAATCATGGCAGTTACATCTTAAAGAGGTATTTACCTGAGGCCGTGTATGAATTCAGAAATCTCTCATTTGGCTTGGTTCGAGCTCATGCTATTGGTCAGTCAGCCATTTAGCATGTTGCTCATGTTGCTGTTCTAGATATCCTGAAAGAGGATTGATGTTTTGTGCCATGGGCCAGCCAACCCAAAGAGCACAAACGTAGCAGCAACATCTAGTTGTGAACGTGTCTGAGAGAGTTCAGCAGTTTTGGTCCTTACCTCTCAAAATGGTTTCTTCATAAGCAGCCGTATAAGTATGCCTTGATAGACTCTTACATGGACTACGGATCTGAAATGTAAGTTAGAGAGAGACATTTAGGTTTTGGACAATATGTTGACAGTAATACGTCCCAGTGCCCTGACGTTTTTTTTTTTTATCCATTCCTGTCTTTGATAATGCTATGTATATGATAGCATGCTGTACATATTTATTCAGCTTTTAAATGAAATGTATCAAACGTATCTCATTTACCTCCATACAGTATAAGAGTAGCATTCACATAAAAATAAAAGATTCAGTCATATTATTTTACCAAACTGAAGGATCACAGTTGACCATGAGCATGTGGTGTTCGCATTGACACGGTGCCCTGAAAACAAAGCATTCAAGAAGACTTTGTCAACTTACATATCTATTGCAGATAAACAAGATTTTTAAGGTTTGTAGTTGATAATGTGTCTCTCTTTTACTCTCAATGGATCCTGTGTTACCACGTCTTTCCAAGCATCGTTTCAAATAAACATCTTTCATCCATCCAAATATTCCAAATTTAAAAAAGAAGTTAATATAAACTACGTGTACCTACTGTAATTGCTTCAATATTTCTGTTGATTTGCTCTGTATATAAACCTAAGTGTGGTCTAGCACACGGCTGTAACCACTTTATACCATAATGAATGGGCTGTAGTGTACTCAGTGCTCAAGTTCTTTGAGTGTTGGACCTCTGTGTCTTCTAATGTCTGTGGACACTTAACACTTTGTCAGGTGTGAAATAAATGTGAAATATGCGCAATGTTGCTCGACTCTGGACTTCTTCTTTTTTTTAAATCTAAATCAGACGAAGGTGCCCAAACTTTTTACTATGGCCAAAAACTGATTTATGGCCATGAGCCACAAGTAAAAGCGGCATTATATCCAACCCTATTCTATTAAAACTCTTTTTTTTAATTATTAAAAAAAAATTGAATTAACTTTTCATTGATATTCTATACATTTAAATGCTAAAATACAACAAAAATGTTACAAATAAAAAGATTCACTAGAAATGAAAATATTTCAGTCAATGTTTATAAAAACTGTAAAACTTTTTTTATGGTTTTAGCTGTAGTTAACTATAATAACCCTGCTCCAAATCAAAGGTCATCAGAGGCCAACTTTAGCTCACAGGCCTAGTTTGAGCATCTCTGATCTAAACGAGTTAGTAATTTAAAATACACTATAGATATTGTAATAGAACATCTGTATTCAAACCTCTTACATGGTGTTTTCCTAGCAAGGTGCCAATGAAATGTCTTGTAAGAGAAGATTCAGTTCTGGCATCTCCAGATAAAGCAATTTAAAATATGAATCAGTCTTGCACTATTTACTGACAAAAACTACTACTACCTGTTTCTTTGATCACTTATGGTCTTTCTAACTTTTCAAAGTAGGGAATATAAACTGGGATTTTTACATTTTGACTTTTTGTCTCATAATTATAACTTGGTATCTCATAATTATGATTTATCAAAGCATTACTTTTTTTGTGGTGGAAATAATCTTCCAAAGAAAGAAGATTCTAACAGATCGATTCATCCTAAACTATTCTCTCTATGATATAGTGAAAGTCAAATTTATTCTTTGGATGATTCATGTAAATGAACCCACTAAAAAATAATTCACAAAACCTGGTTTTGGCATCTCTGATCTAAATGATCTAAATATATGATCTAAATAAATTCAAAATATGATCACTCTTGCATCATTTATGAAAAAAAAAAAAAACATTTTATAAAAAAAATTACTTCCAGCTTCCTTGATCACTTGCGGTCTTTCTAACTTTTCAAAGTAATATTTTGTTATAGTATCAGGGAATATAATCAGATGTATGTTTTCACATGAGGGCTCTCGTTACATTTCTGGCTCAGTGCTTATACACCCCCTTCATCTCTCCCATGGACATCTGTCAGCAAGCTCAGGTATCATTTTAGAGAGGGAGCGAGAGCCGAGAGAGAATGTTGGGTTCAGCCCAAGGACCCCTGCCACTTTTGTTCTGACTGGCTGAGGTCTAGCATGGTGCTCCACAGAGCCATTCAGGCAGCTCGAGAGGGGGATGTGGAGGCTCTGAGGGCCTTGCATGTGTCCAGATATCTCAGTCCGACCATCACAGATGCCCAGGGAGCGTCTCCCGTCCACCACGCCGCCCGCTGCGGGCAACTGGACTGCCTGGAGTTTCTGGTGAATGAAGGTTGTTTCCCCTGCCACACCCGTACGAAGAATGGCGCCACGGCCGCCCATGATGCTGCTGCCACCGGGCACGTGCGGGAGCTGCAGTGGCTGCTGAGACAGAGGAAGTGTGGGATTGAGGTGAGTGCCATGATATATAGAGAGAAAAATGACATTTGACAGCTGGATTGATGGTGTTCTTGAGGATAGGCTGCTGTGTCAGTTCCCTTAAATGTCAATTACACAGGTCATTGATGATGGATGTACAATGTGAGTAAAGAAGCACCTCTTTTATTAATATCACTGACAGCATAATAGCGCATCAGTACTGTGTATTGAAAGGTCATTGTGATGTACTACTAACTATGCCCATGATTCAGACGCCTTCAAACTGGGTTTTGGATGCTGTCTTTGTGTCCGTCTCTGGCCTACAGGATCGTGATGGCGAGGGAGCGACGGCCCTGCACCTGGCTGCCCGGTTTGGCCATGCGGAGGCAGTACAGTGGCTGTTGTTTGAGGGAGGAAGCACAGAGGCAGAGACAGATTGTGGAGCTCGACCTGTCCATTACGCTGCAGCCAGCGGAGACCTCACTTCCCTCAAACTGCTCATGTCCTGCTCCCCACGGTGAGGCTCACAGACTGTTACACCATCCCTCATTGGCTAAACACTACATTACAGTACATTTCACATGACCAGTGTACTTTTAACCTCTAGCTTGTCAAGTTAGAAGCTACTCATCATTTCAAGTAGTTGAACTGCTATTTTTTTTTTAAAGTGGCTGGCTGCAAATTATCGACAAAAAGTACATAAATGGCAAGTTCTGTCATGAAACTCTAGATGGCGCAGACTGATGGGTCCTTAACGCAAACTGATGATATTCACAGCATTAAACAACTTGGCACAAGCTGATTGGTTCATACTGCATTCGCAGCCAATGAGCTTGTGGCTTTACATTAAAATGGCTGGTTAGCATTTCGCAGTGTGCTTTCAGAGTTCCTCTGAAACACTCCACCTTCCCCAGCTCCACCTGTATAGATCTGCTACGGGTTATTTTATATGCTTTTATATGCAGCAGCAGTTTGTCTTAAATACTCACAGCACCGTATCGGCATATGTGCTGGCAGTAGCACGCTCCTGTACTTGCTTTACAGCAGCAGCAGCAGCAATAACCAACAGCAACAGCAATTCAGCAGCGTTGCAGATCTATTCCACCAAGACCAAATACATTAACATTGTCATATACATTGCTTAAATCTTCTGAGTTGTCATGATATAACTATGTTTAAGCAATTTAAAGGTATAGTTCACCCTAAAATGAAAATTCTGTCATCATTTACTCACCTTCATTTCATTCTAAACCCATATGACTTTACTTCTTCTGTGGAACACTTTTAAAAAAAAAATTTTTTTTCTCTCTCCATACAATGGAAGCCAATGGTAACTGTTTGGTAACCAACATTCTTAAGAATATCTTCTTTTGTGTTCTGCAGAAAAGTCATACAGGGTTGAAATGACATGAGTAATGACAGAACTTCTATTTGTGAATTATTGAATTATCCCTTTAAGACACAAAAATACTGTAATGAGGGTGTTTGTAATCTCATGAACATCAAACTTGAACAGATAAAAATGCTAAATATTAACTAAAAGAATATAATTTAATTTGTTTATACGAAAAATAGTAAAGCAGCAGCATATAAATAAAAAATAGGTGAATCGTTTTTTTGTTCAGTTCACTTACATGAACCATCTGAATGAACTGTGTCGCTAATGTTAGATGCACCAATGCTGTCACGTTGCCATTTCTTGAGAACTGCTGCTCATCAGGGAGGCTGGGGAAAGCTCATCTGACACGTCAAACTCGCCATCTGGGCTCTGTCCTCTATAATACATGAGGAACCACTTGCCTGCCACATGTCGCCACCTGTGCATTTATTGTACATCTGCACTGCTACCAACTTCTACTTTGTGATGCAATAGAGCTTATACCTCTCACGATACATTAAAATGCAACCAAATAATCCATAAGAAATCGGATTGATGGCTCAATCGGATTGAAGAGCCTTCTTGTAAACACCTCAATCGATCTGACTGAAATTTAGATGGGATTGGAAGGGGTGGTGTAGATGTGAAATAATTTGATTAATTAAGCATATAAATGCTTGATTCTGTCTATTTTCTCAATTGGATTTAAAATACTGACTATTTTCTCAATCGGATTAAAAAATACCTTTTGCACATGTGCAGTGTTCCCATCTTTATATTTACATATGTCTTACATCTTAAGGGCCGGTCACACTACACTCATTTACTTTTTTTTTTTTTTTACGAATTTTGCTGTGTTCCAAAGAGCAAGTTTGGTGAAATCTGACCAGTGAATTCACATCACGTAGAGACATGTGACCAATAAAAGATTAGCATGACCTCTTAGCTGATTTAAAAGAATGTTAACTTTAAATCTGTAAAATTGCAGTAAAGTGCTGTAGATTGTACATATTCTACATTTTGGATGTTATATATTTAAAAAAAAAGATGCCACAGAGTGTGACATATTGATATAAATGTGATATATTACAACTTTTGCAGTGTCAGTAGAAATTTTGCATGCTCCAACGTCTAGTGTGAACACAACTTCACGAATGTGTCTTTACGAACTTCACGAAGTTTATTGTCATCTTACAAACTGGTCAGTAGAGGAGACTCAGTATTTACTAAACATTTGCTAAAATAGCTATTCCGGCATATGTGTAAGGTTTCTTTTTAGTTGTATCATAAAGGCAAAAATGACACTTATATGGTAACTCTGTGACATTATCGTGGTGGCTTTCTTCAGTTCTGAATATGGCAACTAACTGTGCACTATGCACACAGTGAAGTTTTGTTTGGAATACATTTAATGCATATATGTGAATTGGGTTGTAAAGTTTAGGGATCATATAAATAGAACTTTCAGAATCTGAAATCAAAATTAATGCATGTAAACCTACCTGGCACTTCACTGAAAAGAGCTGTAAACATAAAGTGGCTTGTTAATTAATGTAGACTTAAAAGGAGATTATGTTATGCTAGTCTATACATGCAAAGTCTAACATGTATTATTGGTACAGGTGTGTGGACTGCCAGACAGGAACTGGGGCCACTCCACTGTATCTGGCCTGTCAGGAGGGGCATCTGCATGTGGTTGAATACCTGGTGAAGGACTGCGGTGCAAACGTCCATGTGCAGGCCAAAGATGGCATGAGTGTGTTGCATGCAGCTGCCCACATGGGACACTATGCCCTGGTGGTCTGGCTGGTGAGTTACAGCTGCTTCAGTCACTCAGGTTTTATTAAATAAATGTAAGTATTATATAAGAGCTAACTCCAATTCTGTCTCTGATATGATTCTTCAGGCCTCCTTCACAGATCTGGATCTGTCCTGTCAGGATAAGGGTGGAGCCACAGCACTGCATTTCGCCGCTAGCGAGGGCCACCATCGTATTGTGGAGCGTCTTTTACTGATGGGAGCAAAGGTCCTGAAAGACCTCTGGGGTGGGACCCCCCTGCATGATGCAGCGGAGAATGGAGAACTAGAGGTGTCTGTCACTGTTCCTTCAGTTCCAATCACAAATCCTTTCCATGAACGCTCAGAGGATTTTACAGTTTAAGAAGTTCGAAATGCTTTCACAGAGGTTTTGAATGACAGCTCTAATCTCTCGTTCCCTCAGTGCTGCCGAGTACTGCTGAATAATCACATCAGTCCACTGGAGAGAGATTCCGATGGGTTTACTGCAGTGGATCTGGCAGAATACAATGGCTATCATGACTGTGCCAACTTCCTCCATGATGCTGATGCTCATGTAAGATAATTAGTACTTTCTTCAGCACAATTTATTTAACTGCAAGCACATTTTTAACTAAAACAGACGTTTTTATTTTTGGTTATTTAAATGGTTAATTATCTTCATTTTTATAAAATTTCTTCCATATACACAACTAATGTTTAACTTCTTGGGAGTCAGTAAGATTTTAATTGTATTTTTTAAAAGCAATTATAATTTATACAGCAAGGATGCATTTAATTAATCAAAACCCTAACCCTAAAATTATAAAAGACATTTATAATGTTCCAAAAGATTTCAATTCACTTAAATGAATAAATATTTTGAACTTTCTATTCATCAAAGAATCCTGATAAACTGGTGTCTACAAAAATATTAAGCAGCACAACCATTTTCAATGACAATAATAATGATAAAAAATGATAATAAGAAATGGTTTTGCACCAAATCAGCATATTACAATGATTTCAGAAGGATCATTTGACACTGGCGACTGGAATAATAGCTGCCGAAAATTCAGATTTCTCATTACAGGAATAAATATATTTTAAAATATTTTAACATAGAAAAAGGTTAATTAAAATGTAAATAATATTTCACAATATTACTGTTTTACTGTATTTTTGATCAAATAAATGCTGCCTTTGTGAGCGTTAGAGACATTTAAAAAAAAATCTTACCCTCAAACAAACAGTAGTATGTGTATATGTGTATGTGAAATTGACAAAAAAGAAAAGAAAAGAAAAATGTAGTACAGAAAAAAAGTAGAGAGAAATTAAACCCAAGGTAAATTATGGTACCTATTTTAGGGTGGTGGTGGGGTCATACTTGGGTGAAAGTAAAAGGTTTTCCACATTTAATAATAATGCTTAAGTATAGCAATTAAGTGCATTACAGCCATGAATATTACATGCATTAACAGCTGATGGTGTGGATTTTGGTAATACTCCATCCACCTTGTGATAGCAAACTGTTACTGCCACCAACTGGCCAACACTTCTCTAGCATGAATATATTTGAGCTAATGAAATAGTAGCTCATATTGGCTGACTCATGCTACAAAATAGAGGACAAGCTACACATATTAAAGTGCATTTATTAAATCACACACCGCAGTCAACTGAGTCATTCCCGCTGAAGAACCTTTCCATTATTTATCAGATATGGGACAGGATTTTCTTCACAGGAACATCCTATTCAGGAGCCTGAATGGATACCGTTAATCCCTTAATAATGAAGGCATTAATAATGTGATTATAATTTGATCCACATCTGCTGGGAGTAAAAGTGTTGACAAGTATCTGTTTATTCTCGTGGAGAATGTTGTCGTGGGACAATTCAGGGAAAATGTCTAATTTAATGAAATCTAATGATTTAGTTGTATATGCCTGGTCCTTTTTGTGCATTTGTAGAATGAATATTTAGAGTGTAGCAGGACTCAAATGGATCATTTTATGTTTCCCCCTAATATCATCCACCATTTGTGAGATGGACAAAAGGTCAGAAGTCCAGTCTTGAGAATTCAGTGAATAGTGTGTGAAACACCAATACGCTATACATAATTTGCTAAATACTTATATTCAGCTCCGCCTCCACTGTCACTTCATTGCAAAAGGGCATCAGATACATCATTGGTTCATAAATGAAGTGGAAACTATGCAAGCGTCAGCCTTTCTTTTGATAGCATAACTACAATGGCATATCAAAACGTTATGGTTGGACACAAGGTAATTAGCAAGACACTTAGTAATGTTTGGTTGGCGCATGAAGGACCTATCAGCTATCACTTCACGCCCCTCTCAACACGAGCTCCAGAGCTCCAGGGGTGAGGAGGATATGTGATCCTCCGTCTCAGGTGTCAGAGGCCCATAAACGCAGTCAGTGGGTTTGTCAGAGGGCATTTTACTCCTGTGTTTGGAGTCGCTCATGCTCTGTCAATCCATCACAAAGCCAACGAGAGAGAGGAGAGATGTGGTGTTCTCACCAGTTTTGTTTGTTTACGCTGACATGGCATCAGCGGTTTTGGTTTGAGTGTATGGGTCTCCCCCCCAAAGGAAAGTGTGAGCAGCACAGTGGGGTTCTTGACAATAATTATTGTTTACTGGGGAATAATTACATAAGATCAGCTTATTTATTACCACAGAAACGGAATGAAGAAAAAGGTAGACATAATGTAAAATAGACTGACTAATGCTAATATAAAAAAGGAACAATATATTTCCTATATTGAGGAAATTCAAGAGAATTCGATTCAATGTTCATAAATGTTTTAATTGTACATGGGTAAAAAATCATATTGAGTGTAAATAAACTTTTTCCATATTTAACAATACTTAAGTATAGCAATTTAAAATCTAATCTAATTCTAAAAAACAATCTAATAATATAACATAATAGAATAGAATAGAATAGAATAGAATAGAACCTGCATGAAGTGCCTGCAAATGAATAGAACTGGTGTGATCTGATGCTTAAAATTGCTTGATTTATTCCATCATTCCACTATAATATGGAGGAAATTGTCTAAAAATGGAGAGAATTCAATAAAATTTTTTATCAATTTAAAAGTAAAATTTAAATGGTTAGGGGGAAAGCTCATATTTCATGTTTAATAATATAATATAATATAATATAATATAATATAATATAATATGAGCTAATATAATATAATATAATATAATATAATATAATATAATATAATATAATATAATATAATATAATATAATATAATATAATATAATATAATATAATATGAGCCTGCAAAAAATGCCTGTAAATGAATAGAATTGGTGTGATCTAATGCTTAGATAGAGTTGCCTGATCTGTTCCTCCTGCATATCTAATGGTCTGTGTAACTGATGTGTGTTGACCTCTTTGCTCCACGGTCGGTTGAGGTGCATGTGACAGAGAGGTATTAAGTGAAGCGTCTTTAAATTTGCGTAACGGCAAATCAGTTAGGTTTAGATAATAATGTGACACCTCAATAAAGATGAGTACTGTCTGTTCATGCGCGTGTATCGATTCGCCATCAAGCCCTGTTCTTTGATGTTTGTGGAATTGAAGTAATTCTCTAACCACATTACAAGACATTCAGAACAGCAAATAGTGTTCAATAACTGTAGAGTTAGTTCAATAAAAAACTGTGAGAAACACAAAAGTGCTTTAGTGAATTTCAGAAACGTGGTGAAGAACGTGTGGCAGCCTTTAGACTTTTAAACCTGTAAAGAACAACGGTTTACCTAATCCCACCCTTTAATTATTCATACTTTACTATGAAGACCTCCTGTCTGAGCTCACTGTAGTGCGCTGATCCTTAAGCTTTTGGCCACTGGATGGCTGGAGCACTGATGTGATTGTAGCTGCTCTCATTACACTCAGCTGTTAGACTTGTGAAGACTTGACCGGCAAAGGTGTGGACTGTAAATTATTTCAGATTACTTTATAAAAACATAAATGTCATTGTTGTTTTACTTTTTCTGAAAAAAGAAAAAAAAAATCTGTAGCATTGCATGGGTTTGTTTTATGATGTTATATATATATATTAATTAAATATGTATATAAATAATTAGAAAAAATCCTGCCTAGAAAATGATCTTTGAAATACCTTCAAAATAACTATCTCGTATTGCTTCTTTGTTTAAGGATTCAGCTTTAACAGTTTTTCTTGGGTGTTCTCAGTAATATTTGTTTAAACTGTAAAATATCAGATTAAAAATACAACTGCCCTAGAGAAAATATTGTGTATATTAAAAAAAGGTTTTTCCTTTTGGGTGAGAGTAAGAAAAAATGTGAAAACTGAATGTTTTCAGAAAAGACTATATACAAGCATGACTAAGAATATCCTGTCATTATGGTGCAAATAAGTAAGTAATGAGGTAAAGAATGGAAACAGACAGACTGGCACATTCATCATGTTTAGCTCTGAGAACTAAATTTCATTTTGTTAAAATAAATAAATTATATCCTAAATGTCATATATTTTATTATACTGTACATAGCTAACGCATAATCTATAGTGTGTGAATGTGATGCCTCATTTAGTATTTGAAGTAACTTTTTTAAATTATTTTTTTTATTATGTTTAGTCAACCTATTAATGCTGCTTTTGAGTGCTACACTTAACGCATACATGTTTAATCTTTGCATTAGAAAATGTTACTACTAAAGTAAATATTGTCCAACTATTTTCTTATGGTTTTATGATATACAGTGTATATGGATGTACACTATTGTTCAAACGTTTGGGGAGGGTAAGTTTTTTAAATGTTTTTGAAAGAGGTCTCTCATGCTCACCATGACTGCATTTATTTGATTAAAAAAAAAAGAAGAAGAAAAAGGAAGATTGTAAAATATATATATTTTTTATCATTTAAAGTACCTGTTTTCTTTAATATGTTTTCAAATTTAGTTTATTCCTGTGATGGCATAGCTGAATTTTCAAGAACCATTACTCCAGCCTTCAGTGTCACATGATCCTGTTTTTTATACTGCATTTTACTGCATTTTCTTATATTATCAGTGTTGAAAACTGTTGTGCTGCTTAATATTTTTGTTGAAACAGATACTTTTTTTTTACAGGATTCTTAGATTAATAGAAAGTTCAAAAGAGCAGCATTATTTAAAATATAAATCTTTTGTAGCATTATAAATGACCCTTTTGATCAATTTAATGCATACTTGCTGAATAAGTATTAATTTCTTTTTAAAAAAGCAAGAAAGCAAGAACAGAGTTCACAAGTGGCCATAAGAGAAGTCAATCACTGCGGGTATGGGTCATTTGAACCATCCGATCAGATGACTGAACTCTATAGGCAGTTTTCCTTTGTTAACTAAGTGGGAGGTCTGCTATACTAAACAGTTTGAGCTCCTGTTTCACTTTTCTCATGACTTTTCCCCCTCACTGGGGGCTCTTCACAGATCAGGGTGTACATTGTGCTTCAAGTACTTTACTCATTGTGCTTTACTTCAGCAGTCTGCAGATATTGTTCTCATAGAGGAGGAAAGGACCTTGTTTAGCACAGCTGACCCCTACCAGGACATTAAGGACCTGTCCTGTGAACTTGGACATAGTGGCAGGATGGAAAATAGCAAGGTTATGTTTTTTAATTATAAACTGATTTTAAGCAAATGTGACAGGACATGCTTGTTCTTAATCGCTTTGGCTGTTTTGCTGTTCCTAGCAGCCGGTGAATGAAGTCCCTCCCCAGCCTCGTCCCTCTCCACCATACCCGGATAACTCATCCGCATTACTGGCCTCCTCACAGGCTAAGAGAGCCGGAGCTGGAACCATACAGCATATGCAAGTGGCCTCTACAGGTGGGAGTGCATGACTCTGCATGTGTTCGGCTCAGGCGAGAGTATATATGATCTTTTATCTCTAACCAATACAGATTTCTAACTGACAAAAAGGTCAACTTCCATAATACAAAGAAATTGTACGCCTAAAGTTAACTCATTTTCTCTGTCTTTGGTGTATAGTTGTAACTTCATTCAACATGAGGAAACACCTTGAGGAAGAGGAGGCCGTTTTATCCCAAAAGTCAATGAGGTCGCTGAAACAAGCAGGAATCACTGCAGTCTTCACTGGACAAACAATCCATGTATGTGCTATAGCCTCAATATTAAAAATGTCAACAAGAATTCACAATTGACCCTAATTATCTTTCAGGTCTTATTGTGCTCACATCATCAGTGCACGTTATTCCGAAGAAAACAAGTTTCTTCATAATTTGTTATCATAGCGTAATGACTTGCTCTGCCAGAATCCTGTTTCCACCATAATTCCAAGAAAAAAGTCAGAATCGAGAGATGTAACTCAAAATTACAAGAAAAAAAGATGAGGAAACTTGCAATTTTGAGGGGGAAAAATTCATTCAGAGGTGTAAAATAGTTTGTAATGCCATTTATTTGGATTTGAAGTGAATGTGTTTATTTGCAACTGAGATGGTATAGCGATATTAATCTCTATGAGTTTGTATGAATCTGTTTACAGAAAGGACAGAGTGGAATTGTTCCACTTGCAGCATTGGAGGCAAATCTTGCAGACATTGATTCTCTGATCCCAACTCATGATGAGAACGGGAGGCCCATTGCTGAATGGAAGAGGCAGGTTATGGTGCGCAAGCTTCAGGCTCGACTGCAGGACGAAGATGTCCACAGCAGAAAAGTAAACTTCTCAAACCCTTCCAACATAAAAGTCCTTGCATAACGTACAATGTCATACAGCATTACAATAACAATAGTTTCATCTTACACAGGACAACAGCGACCAACACATTGAGGTGGATGGTTGGAGGTATTCCCAAGTCCACAATGTCATTTTGGGCCCCTTTGGAGAACTGCTTACTGAAGATGACCTGCTCTACTTGGAGGGACAGATTGAGACTATCTCCCTTCAGAAACGATGCCAGGCTTATGAACTAGAGCTTGCCCGACTGGCAGAGGAACTCAGGGCCATCCTTCCTGCTCCCATCGTTAATATCACCATCAACACCCAGTGCCAGCAGCTCCCAGACATGGAGGAATCTCTGCCTCTTCCTGTGTGGTACAATCGTATCTCAAATATAGTAAAGAGCATGTCAAACCTCCTGACAAACCTCTCAGAAACAAACTGTGAAGATGGGATCAGTAAGATGCCAAACACGGATCTGGCATCGGTCTTCACATACCAGCCCGAGAGGCACCTTTGGAGAACTGCTTACTGAAGATGACCTGCTCTACTTGGAGGGACAGATTGAGACTATCTCCCTTCAGAAACGATGCCAGGCTTATGAACTAGAGCTTGCCCGACTGGCAGAGGAACTCAGGGCCATCCTTCCTGCTCCCATCGTTAATATCACCATCAACACCCAGTGCCAGCAGCTCCCAGACATGGAGGAATCTCTGCCTCTTCCTGTGTGGTACAATCGTATCTCAAATATAGTAAAGAGCATGTCAAACCTCCTGACAAACCTCTCAGAAACAAACTGTGAAGATGGGATCAGTAAGATGCCAAACACGGATCTGGCATCGGTCTTCACATACCAGCCCGAGAGGCAAAGTTCAATCAGAGGACGAAGACAAAAGGTGGAAATGGAGATCCAGCAATCAGGAGTTTCTGTGAGAAATCTGAGGTCCAACTTTGAGGGTCAGATAGGAAACATCTACCCATTTTCTGGGCTTTTAAACAACACATCAGACACAAGGCAGCAAAAGTTGACTACATCAACAAATCGTAAGGAGCAGCAAATGGGGACAACGCAAAGCACTGACATAAAGCACATTAATGACAGTGCCATAAAATGCCAACAGGCACCAGGCAAAGATGCAATTAAAGTGATGGAGACCACCTGTTTGCGGAAGGAGCGTATTGTTGTCCTCTTTTTGAGCCACTGGAAAAGGTCTGCGTATGCAATATCAATGCGAGCCAAGATGAAACAAGAGCTTGGCACTCTTACAGGAGAAGGAATAACAGCTCCAGTCTCCAAGCCAGGAACCAGATCACTGTATCATCTTTATAGGCAAAGAACCACAATAGACAAGATGATTGGCAACTGGAAACGCATTGCCTCTGTGGTCCCTACACGACAGATCCGGAGCCTCCAAAGGAAGCGTGTGACCTACTCGCCCGAACAGTTCCTTCCTCGTGTGGACGGCGCTCCTGTTGCTTACGACAGCCTGACCCTTGACCTGTTCATGCTCGGCTATTTTCACATTCTTGAGCAGGACCTCCCAGCTGAGGAGCGCAAGATGAGGCACCTGCTATGCTTTGAAGTGTTCGATCACTTAGGGAACTTTCCCTGGGACATGGTCCGAGACTTCCACCAGGCTGTCCTCAGGGAGATTGAGGCTGGGAGACGTGAGTGGAAAGATGGCTTTGAGGACATCAAAACGCAATATTTTGGGAAAAGAGAAAATGGGATATCTAAGGAATCCGTGAAGAATTCTTGTGCTGGGGTTAAAGCTGTGCCGCAGGTTATCATCGAGAATACTGTATCAAATGATGGAGGACATTCCAGCAGAGATGGAAGCAATGATTTCTCAATGTTTAACAATGATGAAATTTGTAAATATATTGATCGTAGTTTCACCTTCTGGAAGGAGAAAGAAGCAGAGTTGTTTGATTTTTGAGATTTTTGAATGCAGTGATGATTTATATTGTATGTGAAGACAATATAATTGAGAATTATTTTGAATGCAACATAATTTTGAGGCTTTTTGAATACAGATAAATTAATGACAAAAAAGATATTTGTTACATAATAACGTGTTAATTAAGTACTTTGTAATGTAGCATCAGGTACCTTATATAAATAAATACCATGATTACACAATGATAAGAATCTGGCCAAAAGACTCTTACAGCCATGTGCATTCCACAAATTTTGATGTTTGCCCTTTCACTTTTATAAATAAACCATTATTTCGTTTGAAAATTGCCATTTCTTGAGATTAATTACTACTGAGTACCTTATGACTTCCTGTTACATTTTTTTTTTTACACAAGAAACAATCTGACATTGAGTTCAGTACATTAATATGGCGGTGGGTGAAATGCATGTGTGACCAGCAGGGATGTTCAGACCACCTTGAGGGACTGATGAAACATGTATAAGATGGAGTGTAACACTCGTTATATAGCAGTAGTGCTACGTAGTCCAAACCGGAAGAACACTGAACATACACCTAAGATAAGATATCTACAGTGTATAGAAGCAACAAATCACTCAATAGGCCTACATTTTATCAGGAAAGAAATGTTGTGTATATTATAACACCTTCAGGGAGCTTGGTTTCTCGTTCAATACACATTACACAAACAAGGAAACCTTAACTTGAGCTAAGGAAATGACTCTTGCTGTGGCATGCTAATGCTAATCTCCTAGCCTGTAAACACCATTTTCCTTCTTGATATCAAAGTAAATGCTGAACTGAAGAAACCATTTAATTGATGGATTTTCAAGCTCTGTTACCTTACCAACAGTACAAAACAGATGTAAAAATGCACACAATATTTACAATATGCTGTGATTAGCTGCTTTCATTTAAGGACAAGTTATATACTATTTATGCATATTTTAAAGTACAGTAAGCTGATTGTATACCTGGACTTTTATCCTTTCTGACAATATTCTGACAAAACAGACTCCATTCCCACCTTATTTAATGGGTCCCTAATATCCAAAGAGTATTGCATACTAATATAAAACTACTAAACAAAAGTTATTTTATACATTTTGATGGATGTTTTTGTGATTTTATTGTCAACGTCATCTCCAGTAAGCATAGCCTAGTTTTCTTGTCTATTTCTTTTTTTTTTTTTTAGCCCCAGTCTGGAGATTATGAAGAAAGCTGCAGACAAACAGACTTGTCAGGGTATATAACGTGCATTGAAGTTTCCAGGACACAGTAATGACATCATCACTAATTTTAGACACACAGTCTACAGTTTGATTTAGATACATTTTAATGTCATCCTCCTCAGTTGCACAAGAATTCTCTTCTGTCAGTGTTTCCATTTTGTCATTTATTGTATTGTTTTGCTGTAAAAAAAATAAAAATCAACATTACATATTTCTATACTTTGAAACAATTTTCCCTTATTTTTCATGTCATCAGACTAGGACACAATATACTGGAGGAGAATGATTTATAGATTTATGTCCAACAGGTCAAAAGAGCACGCTTGGATAGTGCTTGGTGATATCATTTGCAAATTTTACTGCTTGTAGTTTTGTCTTTGATGTCAAAATAAAATGTATTAAAGGGGTCATATGACGTTGCTAAAAAGAACATTATTTTGTGTATTTGGTGTAATGAAATGTGTTTATGCGGTTTAAGGTTCAAAAAACACATTATTTTCCACATACTGTACATTATTGTTGCTCCTCTATGCCCCGCCTTTATGAAACGCATCGATTTTTACAAAGCTCATCGGTCTGAAAAAGCGAGGTGTGCTGTGATTGGCCAGCTATCCAGTGCATTATGATTGGCCGAATACCTCAAGCGTGAGACGGAAATGTTACGCCCCTGCCTTCTTTCTTTGCTTGAACATTTGGGCGGCGTTATGCAAATCTTCCGTAGACATGTGGGGGCGTGTTAGAACAAGCCGTTTTAGGTATAGCGTGGTTGACTCTTAACTTTTATAAAGAATATCTCTTTGGATTTGAGACTTTAGTCTTTGTAACTTTACAGATCTTCTTTATGCACCAAGAGCTTGTAACACTTCAAAGAGAAAGGAAAAATTGAAATCGCATCATATGACCCCTTTAAATGTTAAAACACATAGTTGGACCTATAGCACATCTACACATAATGCTGATTTGTGCACTTAAAGAGAATGTGAATCTCTCTCCCTTCATTTTCCAGTCTGTGCTCTATCATTTTTATCCACTAAAGGCAAACCCCACAGATAACACAAAAATATTCTCATTTAATTGCATGTACTATATTAGTTACTCTCTAAGTTACTGTATATATGGAGCCTATATTAGTTACTGTATACGACTATAAAATTATCATGAATAAATTACCAGGTTTCTTATTTCATAATTAGATTAATGCCATCTTCAAAACAACAAAATTGTAAATGTAATTAAAAGCTTAACGTTTTATAACATCAAATTTATATTATAATGTGCACACAGACAAAGGGGTTGCAACATTTTGTTTAACACTTTCCATGCAATTTTTATTCACAGGATGTATTCACTTGTACACAGAGAAAGCTTAGGTCTAAAATGCAGTCTTCGAGTGTCTGCAAAAGCGAACTATAGGCGTTCAAAGTATATAAATATGCGTTGCACTTAGAGATGCAGATGCAAACGTTGCTGCACGGATGCTTGGCCTGCGGTTTAGTGTGCGAAGAGAGTTTACACGGGACGCTTCCGTAAACATACACAGTGATATCAGACGGGCGTATCGCCACCGCTGCGCATGCGCACAGGGCAGGAGAACTGACATCGCGGAGCAGTACTGCAATATCCATCGATTCGGGACCGAAGATTATCCTTCTGCATTCTCGCAAGACTGGTGCCACCTGTACATATTAATCCATAACAACTGTGTCATTAAAGCAATCATGTCCATGGGAAGTGACTTTGGGAACCCTTTACGGAAATTCAAACTTGTTTTTTTAGGGGAGCAAAGCGGTGAGTCTTTGGGTTTGCCACGACTGGGTTTAGACGAACCCATTAACCTTTCAACACATGCATGAAGTACATTAGTATGTTGTTGAGTCTTTTGTGTATCCGCTTGTTTGTGGTGTTATTTCAAACAATGTTATCGCTCCATCGATTCCCTGTCAAACAAGTCGGTTGCATACGTTTCATTTGTGATTAGTCATGAAAATGTATAGCTATGCAGCGTCATTAGACTACTAAACACCCATCTGTGAATATAACGTGATATAATCGTTATTTCAACAACTGTTATGATTGTCACCTGCATTTTCCATTGGAAGCAGAAGGGCTGATAATGTTATTGATCGCTGTTATTCTAGCGCAACACATCTGTGAATATAGTGATATAAACGTTATTTCAACAACTCTGTTATGATTGTCACCTGCATTTTCCATTGGAAGCAGAAGGGCTGATAATGTTATTGATCGCTGTTATTCTAGCGCAGTTTAAATCGCTCAAAACAAATGATATATATTAAATAATTCAATCGAAAGAGATGTATATCGCCGTGTTTGTATATATCTTCCTGTAAACATCCACTGATTTAATGTCATGAAACAGAAAAGCGCAGAGGCTTTGCATTTCCCGTGTGTCTACTGGAGACACACCCAGGTTGGCAGTCAGTGTCTGTGGGATTCTTCAGCAGAGCAAAAATATAAACCTCATGCATCATTTCATGAGCAGTCATAAGATCAGCCTATATAATATTACTACATATCGTGGTTTATTCATTTGGCCGGATGATGGTTTTATCAGTGTCACTGTCACTGTCGGTGTTTCAGAAGACGTAATCAGACGGGCATTTGAGATCATGTCTGTCATTTGATGACTGGACATCCAAATATTGAAAATAATAACACTGAACATGGCGTCACTGTAAAGTTCACGTGTTCTTGAGATATTTTTTCCCCCTTACATTTTCTAGTAATGCTTATAGTGCCTAATACAGTGGTTATTTATTCATCATTCACTGTTTGTATGGAGAAAATGGACAGGCAGTCAGACAGAGGGCCCTCTGTATTGTATAAAACAGCATTAGATTGTGATAAGTGATCATTACAGATCTAAATGACTGGTACCAGAGCTTTGACAGCTGTCTGCATCTTATCGAAATCATAAATCCTATGCAGCCTGAATATGATGATGGATATTACCACACCTGATAGAAAAACATTTATTTTCCCTTTATTTTATGTCAGCTGCTGAATTCTGTCATTGTTTACTCACACTCATGGTGTTCCAAACCTATCTTTCTTCTGTGGAACACAAAAGGAGATGTTAGAAAGAACAACATCCTCTCAGCCACCACTTATCTTTTTTCCCATATAATTATAGTGAATCGTGACTGAAGATAGGAAGTCATGCAGGTTTGGAGCAACATGAGAGTAAATGATGACATGGTTTGTGTGGACTGTCTTGAGTATCATCAGAAGACCACTTGTTGTCTGCTGTCCATGGTCCTGAAGCTCACTGCTGGCCAGATTTGGTTGATCTTGTCTCAAGACATCAGCAGAACAACCAGTGAAGTCAGAGAAGAATGGGGCCACTATTCCCTTTCGTTCTATGAGCTCCAGTATAACTATCAGCATTGTGCCGCTTGATGATTTTAGTATCTTTGCTCAGCCTGACAAACAGGCCTGACCAGACTGGCCTGAAAAAAGCAGTCCTCTAGTGAATGAAAAATGTACTCTGGAATTTTGCTGTCACTGTGGCTCCATGCACTACTGCATTTTTCAAGTCATTTCCCCCCCCCGTCATCATAACTCTAAATGACAATGAAGTTCAAATGACATTCTCTGTGTAATCCCTTAAGAAATATACTGTCATTTGAAGGACGGAGGTTGAGACAGTGCCTTGTTTCAGCATATGTTGCAGTATGGTAGTGTAATTCAATTACTAAAAACACAGTGTGTGGGGTTGGTCAGGACAAACAAGTTATTAATCACTTC